TTTTAAAAATGACTGTAAACTACATGCCAGAAAATCAATGGGACAAAAAAGTACACATTCTGATTATGAATGACCATTCCAATTGAATAATATTACACAATTTTGGATAAAACTTTTTTTTTACAGAATACACATGATTGTATCCATAACAATCAAAACCTTGACCATTTATTGTAAAATTTCAGATTCTGAAAACAATTTAAAAACATTTCTTTGATCATAGGAAGTTTAAATATTTTTTTTATAAAGTCAACATTTCATTTTAAACAATATGCTAGTTTAATGTTATATTAATAGTTTGTTTTTACGCATGTATATGAAGAGGGTTAATTACACTTTACAAGAACAATTTGCATATATTAATGCAATGAGATGTGACTGAGATATGTGCTGTGGCACTAGAGGTGTTAAGTGTAATAAGCATGTATCTTGTTCATGGCAAATTCCCAACCATTCAATGCAATACCACCATGGGTGCTCTTATGGCTGAAGAAACATGTCACAGCTCTTTTCAAGGTACAATAATCATATGATGATGCTTAAAATATGAAGTCAAAATACACAACATTTTGAAGAAGAAAGCCTTAAATGCTTCCTATGAATGTGGAAGAACTTGCACAATAGGACATTTGGAACAGCACCAGGCTCTAAAATCACATCCCACATTAATCCAAATTAACATACTGATGCCAAAACAGATCCCTTTGGTCCCAATAACTATTGCATCAGAGTGATCATATTTCCTGGTATCATTGAAAAAGTAATAAACAAGCTCTTGGTCACATCTAGAAATTAATGGCTGTGTTCCTGATAAAATTTACCATATTATTTGTAATCAGAACAACACATCTGTCAGGCACTATGATGTAGTTCTAGTGAACGTTCGTGCTTTTGGTCTACTTAAATGGTCCAAATAGCCAATGTCCATGCCTAGTGGGAGTCCTAAGAACAGTTTATCTGGATGTTAAGTCTAATATTGACCTCACCATTGTTCAAAGAAATGTGTTACGACAGATATTGTGCTATTTGTCAGTAGTGGGTAATTGTGATTGTTAGATTGATTACAATCAACGCCCGAAAACAGGATTTCCTAAGGCAGCACAGGACCTAGATTATTGTTCTTAGAAAGTTAGGTTAAACCTCAGTGGCTCCTACCCAGCTTTTTATGGTAAGTAAGTATGCTTATCTAATAGTTTTAATCTGTACAGAAAGTCAGCTAAGCAGAAATTTCAAAATAGCAGCTAGGGAACTTGATACTAACTTTCTGTTGTAATTAGTCATTCTGTAGTATTATCAACCACATAGAAAATTATTTGCGTGACTCTGAGGGTCTGTGGTTAACATCCCATTGCAGGAAAATCATGCTCTGCATGTTTTTATCCCTCCCACAGTCCAACCCATTGACCCACTATACACTTTCTTTATAGACAATTTATTTGAAGCTATTTTTTTAGGTCTTACTGCGATTTCCTTTAAAATTTTTAAATAAAATAGTTTTATATCAATATAACTTGCATTTTACTTTATAACTATTTTTGAAATTCTCTAAAGGCATTATCGTAATCTCTTTATTTTCACAGGTATAAATAATATCATGGATAGTCTAAAGTAAATTTGTCTTTTATTTTTGCATATTTCATTTGGGTTCCCTAATTTGCCAATTTTCCCAAAGAAGCTATTTTGGTGTTGACTTAAAACATTTAGCTTCGTTTTTTTGTACAGTTAACATTATGTTGTACTTCTGAAAGTTTCTGTTCCCTTAGAAACATGTTAAGGTTATATGTTCTTTTTTTTTCTTTTTTTTAACTGACTAGGAAATCGGGGCTCTATTCTGTTCTAAAAACTTGACGTGACTACACTACTCTAGTTGGGTAAATTTGTCTGAAGGTGTACATGCTGATGTCTAAAGAACTTCCCACAAAATTTAATTTTGAATCCTGAAACATAAACCATGCATCCTCACTAATAAACTTATCTGTATTGCATTATAACATTTCTAATGTGTAACCTGTTTTTAAGACACTCAGTGGGCATCTTAGCCAGACTAGATTTCAGGACTAGTTGTAATTCTTATAAAATTAATTTTAATTATATTTTGTGTAATGATTTTTTGTGAAGATTTCTGTTTTATAAACAAATATTAAGCTAAAACAAAATGCAAAGTCCTTCTCTCATTGCAATGATAATTATAATATTCCTACTTGAAAAAATAAATCCGAAACTTTCAGCAGCTTTTCACAATAAGTTAGATGGGCCTCATTTTATTACTTTCCATTTTTAAATTAACTTAGTGTATGAGTTACTTACATCTTAGCAATTTGTTTATTTTAATTTGTAAATACTTTTTAATAACGTGACCCGCAGATTGCGAGTCGAGCTCCCTAACCACCTGGCTATGCCGGGCCCAAATGGGTAATAGAGTTAATTTACTTTCTGAATAAGATTCATTAAAAATCAATTTAACTTTATCATGAATATTACATCTAACAGTGATTTGTGACAATAACTTACGCTGAGACTGAGAAACTCCTTTTGATTTTGGACGACCTAATCTTTCTGGTGAAGTTAGTGCTATGATGCTGTTATCACCTCCCCGAGAATCATGCTTTGCTAAGAACAAACAAGAACATTCTTCAAGTACTGAGATTATAATTAAGTTAGATCTTTTATTTAGCAATGATATGTGCTTTTTTATATAGGAACATACACAAAAATAAAAGTGAGATTACAAACTTTACTAGTTTAAGAAAGTTCTTTAGTAAGTTAGTGTAGTGTGCTTTTTAAGGCCCGAATTACAAATATGTGCAAGCATCCAATAGTTTACATTTGAATTAATTTTTTTAAATAGTAATTTTATAAAAAAAAATATCCACACAATATTATCATAACAATGACAAAACGGCAGATATATTAAAAATTAACTCAGTCACATAGGAAATAAGAAAGAAAAATTGTGAAAGCAGCTGAGGAATAGGTATTGTATGTGATACTCTATCATGTGGCAAATAAAAGTTAATAATGTGACCACAATGGGAATTGATCTTAAGAAAGCTACAGTAGATCATAATATATATACTAATACATACATTACTCTAGTGAATCAAAATTATAAAACTTGAATAAAACATTCTGTATTAATGTTTTAATTTCTTGGATAAAAGGTACAATTTTCAATATCAGTCAAAACTGAAATGGCCTTACGTAGTGAGGCCACAGAGCCACGAACAGGTTGAGTTATCGTGCCATAGGCTCGAACCTTTGCTCGCTTTGCTGCTGCCACATCAATGGCACTGTTTGAACGGAAAGAGGAAGGAACATAGCCTTCTGGGAAGAAAGAAAATCTCCCCATCCCACCAAACATGCTCGCCCTTTCAGCCGTGGGGGCATTATAATATGACGGTCAAGCCCACTATTCGTTGGTAAAGGAGTAGTCCATGAGTTGGCAATGGGTAGTGATGACTAGCTGCCTTCCCTCTAGTTTTTCACTTCTAAATTAGAGACAGTTAATGCAGATAGCCCTCGTGTAGCTTTGCATGAAATTCAAAACAAACCAAACTGCTCTTGTGTAATCAGCCACAGAGCTTGCTGTATCGACTGTTATTTTCATTTGAAATTTTAATGCTTCATACTGTTGAAATAACTCCAAATTAAATGTTGGCTTTTTATGTCGACTTACTACTTATAAACTTTTCCAGTTCTTTGTTCTGCTTGACGACAGTGAAAGTTAGCTGTGCCGGAAATTCCATTCATGTTTTCTGTTTCATTTGAAAAATTTTTAAATGTTTACATTAGGTTGAAACAATTTTGACATCAGAAAATTGTTGATACATTTTAGGAAATTCTTTCTAATAATATATAAACTCTTGAAAATAAGTGGTTTATCACCAATTGTTTTTTTAAATTAAATATGTACAATTACATTGAATTAGTAAGCAATGTCTATTTAAGTGTTTATATAAAAACAACAAAAATTCTCATGTCTTATCTTTCAAAAATCACTCATTTTATAACTAAAAAGGGCCTGGCATGGCCTGATGGTTAGGAATGTCCACTGCTCTCATCTTGCAATCTGTGGTCTTGGGGGCATTATAAGGTAACAATCAATCCCACTTTTTGTTGGTAAAGAGTAAGTTAGCAGTGGCTGGTGTTGACTAGCTGCCTTCCCTCTAGTCTCACTTCTAAATTAGGAATGGTTAGCACAGATAGCCATCAAATACCTTTTCACAAAATTGAATTAAAATAATTAGAATAGACATAATTTGAAGAGTGATAGCTACTGGTAGGCATTTAAGTAATGTTGAATTGCATGTTATATTATTGGATATTACATATCTGATATTGACTTTCTTGTACAATTATTAGTTGTAAATTAATATAATATTTAAGTCATGAAAAAGTCTGATAGCCATTTAGTAACCAATAGAAATTGTTTGTGAGCCTAAAAGCAAGAGGAACGGATTAAATTAATTATATAATGAAATTATACAATTTAGAGTTTTAATTTTAGTAAAGAAATGTATGGAAATATATACAACATTTTAACTTTTATCCATGTGGTCAGACATTTTTCTTTTCCTTAGACTTGGTTTTAAAGCAGTATTATTTAAAACTTAAATTATTTTTTTTTTACTATATCCAACCTCATCTTCTGTAATCAAGTACTGAACCTAAACTCCTCATATTAAGATAACTTGTACATTCTAGCAAGCAGTCGTTCAGGGTCTCCATCCTCCAGGCTTAGTTACAACACTTATCAAGATATTGGTTCATCTGGCCGAGTACGGAGAAAGTCTGGAATTCCACTGACCACAGGTACAAGCAGAGAAACGAGTCCTGCTCGATCGCTTCATGGAGGTATTTTTTTGTTCCACTACTAAATATGGTTATGGTTATTATGCATAATTATTTATATCTTTCCCTTTGTATTTAACATTAAAAGAAGAGAAATGTGTTACTGAGATTAAACAAAAATATACATCAATATATGTAAATAATAACTAACTTCTAAAGATAAGTATTCTTTATCTTCTGTCAAAGAAGTAGCATGTTTTAGATATGTTTCTAGAACTAAAGAAACAGCATTTAAAAGGTACTGGATAAGAAGTTCCAATGATGAAGTATTACAACTTGAATTTAAATTACATTAAGTTAATTAAGTAGAAGGTGAAACTATTAGTCTTTTAAACTTCATGAAAATAAAATTGTAATATTTTCTACTTTTTTTTATTAACACTTTGTTTTAGCTGAACACTTCCAAGTTATAATGTTTTTGAAAAGGATACAAAAACAATTGTATCACTCATTTTGTGTGAAAAATGTTACTATAAAAAAAATGAAAATGCAACATTTTAAAAAGCTATAAAGCCATGGTTTTAGTATCATTACATAGGTTTAATAGCATGAATGTTTCTGTTAAAGAAAAACACAAATGGAAAATATATGTAAAAGTGGTTTTCAATTTTTTGTGTGAGTATAGCACTAGTACTGCTATATTTTCTGTTGGAGAAGCAGTTTATTCAAGTTTTTAAAGTGCGTATAGCATTAATACTTCTATATTTTCTGTTTACTAAGATTATGTCTGCATGTTTTGTTTTCCATTCACAAACTAGTTTGTAAAAATTACACATTAGTTAATTTATAACTTGTTCCAAAATTAGTAAGTCTGTTTCTGATCATTTACAATGTGTCAGGTCATGAACGAAGACCAAGTGGAAGTTATCGATCACGTCCATTTATAGGTGCAGGAGAGAGATTTCATCCTACCACAATCACAAGTAGGTGGAATATAATTTTGAGAAAAACCAAAATTATACAAATGTATTAAAACAATAAAGGCAGTTTTGAATAGTATACAATAAATATTTAAAATGAGACTATTCCCAGTCTCAAAATACAATAAAACATTGTTTTATTTAATTATTTTACTGCATGAAAAATAAGATACTGAGACTGAGAACAGTCTCATACACCCTACGTTTCAACTTTTTACTACATCATCATCATCATCAGGAGTGCAATATTCTGCACTCTGGTACTTCATTCTTATTTAAGGACCATAGGGAAATGTTGTTAATAGATGGTATGAAATTCTTTAAGCTAAATTGTATGTAAAGTTTGTCATGTGGTTTTTGAAATTATAGATAGGTCTTAATTCATGCAAAATATTACACTTCTGATGATGACGTAGTTGAAACGTGCGGAGTGTATGAGACTGTTCTCAGTCTCACAGTATTTTATTTCGTATACAGTAAAATAATTAAATTAAACAATGTTTTATTGTATCCTGAGACTGGGAATAGTCTCATTTTAAGTACTTATTGTGTATTATTAATCACAGTCTTTAATACATCTGTAGTGTCGTCCTAATTGTAACTGTAAAATTATATCCATTTTGATAGCTTAAAAAGAGGTTTTCTACATTACCTCACTTGCAAGCCATTAAGAAACCCCTTAATCTTGTATAATATGCTTCTGGATAATTGTGTATCAAAATATGTTATGGTGTCACGTCAGTGGTGCAAAGTGAGAGCATATACGTTGGGCCCCAAAATAAAATGAACATGTTTGGACAGGATAAAGCCAGAAGAAACTCTGGTGGAGGTCCACAGAAATTCTGACATGCAAATAAATGATCAGACCTTGGTATAAGGGCACTTGCATCATAACAATTGTTTTTATAACAAGTTGATTATATAAGTGATGTTTCGACCACTACTGTGTTTATTGTGTCCAAGTCAGCCTTATGAACTCTTTATTGAGCAAATCACATTGGCAGATATGGTGTGGTTGTAATACTATTATTGACTCATTTTCTTCTTGAGAAACCCTAAGGGGTTGAATAGAATGTGTAGTGTTAAAAATATAAAAGGCCTAATATTAATGTCTTATGAAATATAATTAATTATGTATCAAAAAGGCTTGAAAGCATATTTTTTAACTCATAAAAATTAGGACTCTCGCCAGGATGCATGTAAACTTTGCACCAAATGCATCCAAGAAATGTATTTGTAAAGATAGGACTTACATCAAAAAATTGAATATGCTTTTTTAAAGAGTACATTACATTCCTAATGTACAAATATCATGACTCATGATTCCAGAACACTGTTTCTTCAACTACAGAGTGTTGAGTACTTTATGTTAAAAAAATGTTGAACTTGCAAATATGCAAGTCAAGTGACCAAAGCTGATATAGTCTTGATGGAACAGAATTACATTTTGACATTGTTTGGTGTTTTACAGATATTGTGGTGCCACCAAAAATTGATCACTTTGGTAAGGGTATCCAACACAAGATATTTGTTTAGATCAGGATTTAGAATTTTCAAGATGGGGATGTCCCTTTTACTTAATGTCATTGCAAAACAAGGAAATATGTATCAACTTGTGGCACCAGAACCATTCAGAAACAGACCTGTAGCAAGTTTTAACCCAGCTGTGGTAAGCAAAGTATGGCATCAATAAAATAAATGCTATGACTTTAGTATCTATTGAAAGGAAGACTGATTAACTTATATTTTTTATTTTTCCAACAGCTTCAGCTCCTGTTATGGCAGAAAAAATTCTTCAGCAAAGTAAAGAGGCAGAAGCTGCAATGGCCGATGCTTTAGTGAGTGATGGATTCAGCTTTGACCCTTGCCTTGTAAGTCAGTTTTTATTTTATGATTAGTTAACTTTAAATCCAACAACATACATTTCACATTTACTTAGTGATTGCTCTTTTCTCAACTCTGAGAAAATTAGTAAGAAGTTGAAATTTTTTATTATTTTTTAATCTGTCATTCAGTTTTATTAATTAGCAATTATTCCTAATTAATAAATTTGTTCCAGTAATCTTAATTGGCCAGATCTAATGTTTATTGTAGTTGTGGCATGTAAAATAATTACATAACTGTTGATACTGTATAACCTGTAGAAGTAGAATCACATTTTTTATGTTGCTCTGCATATCTTATTAACCCTCTCACTATGGCCTTGGTGGATTACACTGACCTTGTGACCCCAATGTAACCATCAGTTTCCATACTATAACTTTTAATATGTTTTATATATCTTCATAAAATTTGGCAAGCTTTCATAAACATTACAAGTCTTTTGTACACAAAAAATTTTGATTTTTTAATTAAGTATTTTTACTAAAGATTTGTCTCTGAACATATGGAGTCAGAGTGTTGACTCCCCCAAGTGCAAAGTGATTCTCATGTTAAGATTAGAAATACTTTTCTTCATCTGAAAATTGTCAAATTTCATTTGCATAGTCTATAAAAGATCCCAAATAAATATCAAACGTTTTTTTTTCAATAAAACCTTATATTTTATGTTATTTTCTTTACCCTAATTCTAGGTGCATTCTGTTTATTTGACCAACTTTCTAATCACCATAAAAAAAATATGAAACAAATCTAAATTACCATTTTTCTTTGTAGAATGACTGCAAATTGTAATAGCAAACCACAATTGTTTATCCTAAATAGTTTATAGCTCATAACAGTATACATCCATTTATACTTATATTATTGTTTTATTGTCCTTTGACCCATGTATAACTAATAATCCCACCACACAAGTTGCAAATCACCCAGCAAATGCGTAGCTTACATTACTGTATTGAATGACAATACATGAGCTGCTCTCAAGCATACCTCATAAAGAATTTTTCAACTTCATTATCTTACCTTATCTAACCTAATAAGTTTCTAATTTTTACATTTTAATTAGTTGTATAATAATAAATAAAGAATATAAATGAAAAAACAAGAAATATATAACTTACCTGTGACCGCTTGTTTTTTTGCTAAACTAAACTAACTAGCAGTTATTTTGATGAAAATGAATTATTTCAGGTGAAATAGTCATCAGGGGTGCTCAAAGATTGAGTAATCTTCCTTCACCCCGCGTGAGGCTTATGATTATGAACTAGTATGGGCTTAGGCTTTTACAAGCTGATTGAGCTTATTGTTACAGGGCTGTTTGTAAAAAAAAAAAAACATTTGAGGCTGGCAAGCACAAGTGATGGCAAGTTGAGGTGCTGGAAAAAGAATATTAATCAACAACTGACAATTATGCTAATTATGGCATAAGAGCCTTTAAATTTGACCTTAAGCTTGTTCATCTTAAGACAGCAAGAAACAATTTCAAACTGAGAATGAAATAGACAATACTCTGTACTGAAAACAACGTAATATAATACATTATTTCATAGAATAAAACTTTGGATTTCTATTGGTTATAAATAATATAAAACATCAGAGAGAACTAGTGACAATTTGTGAAAGAAATGATGTGACAGGTGGGTGTAGCAAATGGATCTCATTTTTTAGTTTATGACTCCCTGAACTTTGTAATATCTATATTATAATAAGTAATATATGTTGAATTCCCTACTTCTCAGAGGGGTGATGAATAAATTAGAGAAGAGGTAGAACCTAGAGAACAAATGTCACAATTCTCATACTAGGAGAAATTGAGGACTTGTTTTAAGATTTCATTATAAAATTAAGAACTTAAAACTTATAAGATATTAAAATTTGATTTATTGTCTATATTTTGATGCCACGTTTATTCATATATATTAATGATAAAGTAGTTTAATTAAATTTTGAATGCAGATTTTTAAAAAATTATGTCATGTCCACTTTGACCTACATGTAGTGAGAGGGTTAAGTGGCTGGCAATGACCAATATTCAGTCAATATTTAGATGTGTGAATTGTATATGAAAATGTTTTGTACTACAATCACATTGTAATATATAATAAATGTAAGTATGCTCAAAATTATTCATGAGTTCAATTTCTGAAATTTTAAGAAAATAAGTGTGCTGGTTAGTATTCCATGAAATAATTCATTCATTCATTAAAACATCAAATAATTGTGCCATACAAATACTATGTATGACACTCTCCTGTAGCTCATACTTTGTATCTATAGAATTTTAAACTTTTTTTTTCTAAAATTCTGAATTGAAACATACTAAACCTGGCTAAGTAGTGTTCTAAATTCAGCCTTAGGAGTTACTTTATGTAACAAGGTCTGATTACGGAAACTGTCTACTGTTTCACGGGATAGCTGTATTGCAGACACACTTCCAAATTCTTGTGGTCCAATTTTCTGATTGGTCAGCTACAAAGAATTACCACAGTTTTCAAAGAGATTTGTTTCTTTATTTGAAGAGCTAAGACTTCCAGTAAAGTCCTGTCTCATTTTAATTGTTTCTTCCAATGCCTGCTTATCATGCATAAAAGTTCCCTTTAGTTTTATCTTTTGCTAAACACAGTTTTCTTTATTTACTCTTTTCACGTTAAAAAATTTCACCCTTTTTATTCTAATTCAAACACTTGAAATAGTTCCTTATCACTCAATGATCAGGTTGTTTTTTTCTGTTCATTCTTCAGCAAGTAAATATTTCTGTTTTAACTTCATACCATGTCATTTTTCTTTTATTTAAACAATAAAAAATCACTACAGTTATCATTCTACATAAATAGGTTTTCAGATCTCGAGTTGTTGCTAAAATCAGGTAACTGCACATTAGGTTTATCTTTGCAGTACTACATAATCTTTTGTTGTACAAACATGATCAACCAAATATGTAATCTAGAAACGTTATTCCTATATCTGTGGAACTGTATGCCTATTTTCTAACTAGTGTGATAATGTTACTTTTATTTTCAGTAGTATATGTACATCATTCTAAAAACGTTTTCCATACATCCAGCTTTCTTTCGCATGTTGGAAACATAAGTAAATATAGCTGAAAGTTCTGTCTACAATTTACATGTAGAATGGTAAAAAATAAAACATTCAGTGTGATAACTTAATTTAAAGTATGCATGCAATTGCTACACCTGAAATAAAATCCTAGTATTAAGAAACAGTGTTTTTTGCTAACCTTACTTTTTGGATGCTAAAGTTAGTTTTAATACTGATTGATATCTTTCTGCTGCAGAAGTCACCTAGACGAAGATTTAATGCTTTTGATGACCAGTCAGATGAAAGTGAAACCTCCAGTGCTTCTTCAGATCGATCATTTGGCTCTTATGGAGGACGTCACTTAGATGTAATAATGTGGAGATATTTATCTTCATAATTCCAGATTTATAGCTAAAGATCAGTAAAATCCAATTTGTTTAGAGTTGATTTCCAGATCATATTAATATTTTTTAAATTGGATTTTTTTATGTGCTGTAATAAAGTATTGCTTATATTAGCTGATAATGTTATAACTTAACTTTTAGCATTAATTTGTAATTAACTATTGACTTCCTAAATCAAAAACTATTTTGATTTATTAGTGTCTTTTAAAACAATTTCATGAAATGCTTTTAATTATTTACATTGGATTTATTTATTTAAAGTAATCCATTTTATTCTTAATAAAACTAAATATGAATAAAATAAATAAAAGGAATAACTATATTTCTGTAATTGGTGAAAGATTAATGTATTTAAAAACAATAACATTATATATCTTAATGGTCATTTTATTGAATTGTGTTTGAAATATTTTTAATTAGATAATTGTACAATCAACCGTTTTTGTTTTGTTTCAAAGAATCTAAACTAAGCTTTAAAGAAGTAGAGTCATTATGAGATATGTTTTGAAATGCTCCCTTACAATTTTAAGGATTTTGGATGATTAGTGTCTGTTAGGTAGATAAGCATCAAGATAAATTATTGGGGGGTCAATGTATAAGTTTGTAATTGTTTAATATCCTTGCATCTGTGGCTTTAAGATCTGAATTTTGACATGTTTGTGTTCATGTATTAGCTTAATATAGTATGAGTTTGAATTTTGAATTATTATTGTTTTTAGTAATAAACTTCATTGCTGTAAAGGTTCCGTTTTTAATGTTAGGAAAAATGTATTATTGGAAAAAGGCAGTTTGGTTATATTTAATTGACATGGAAATTTTCTGTATCAAGCCAACCCTTATCTTTAACAGGACATGCCTGAAATAATCCATAACCTAGGATCAATTCATTGGTCTGAAAGAAAGGAGGGTCTTTTGGGACTGTGTGCCCTGCTTCGTTCATCACGTATGCTTTCCCCTGGGGAACTTAAACGAGTTACAGATACTTTCACCAAAATGTTCATGGACCCTCACACAAAGGTAGGACAGTAAAATAAGTATTTAACATTCACTGTAATTATATTTTATTCAGTTTGTAATAAGAGGTCATGTTGTTTATAATGGCTATAGTTTTTATAAGAATCATTAAAATGTAACAAAAAAGTCATCTTTTATTATTTTTAAACTTTAGTATTTAATTTTTATTAGTCAGAATAAGAATTAAACATTTATAGGATAAACATTACTGTTACCTGCCACAACTACATCTCAAATTCAACCTGTTGACTGCTGATTCACCGTATAGGGTACGGTCCACCTCAGACAGTTGAATGCAAGTGTGCTTTATACAGTGTACAGCTTCCAAAACTTCTGCATGCATTTAATCAGCTGTATTCAAAAGGTTAAAGTAGTTGTATATTTATTCAAGTATTCAATTTTTAAGTAATTAATTATTAATATAATCATTTTTCTTAAGAGTTTATGTGATTAAAACACCCAAAAAATTCTATTTGGACCACTTGTGAACAAGTTATTATTGTAATTATGATAGAAATTCCAAATTTCTTAGGTAGTTTTAAAGCTTCATGCATTTTTAGAAACACACAATCAAAGTACTGAGAATAATTAAATATTTTTCAAACAAAAATTCTAATAATAATATTGTTTTTGAGACTGGTCTATTCAAGCTGAATGCAATTTAAACAATTGAAAATATTGTAATATCCATCACTTGGCTAGTAATATTAGTATAAGTTGTTAATTTTCACTTGCTTGATATAAATAATCTATATAAATATAATAGTACTGTCTGTTGTATGTCCATGTAATTACTTCGCAGGGTATGGATGGACCTTCACCGAAATTGATATGGAGGTTCATTGGGTCCATGGGGAGATACATACAAATTTTCAATTTTGTGTTTTGCAGTTTTTATGGGAATTTTTGCATTTTTTACCACTAACTAGCCTCCTATAGATGGATCTTAACCAAATTTGGTATGTAGGTTCAATGAATCCATGGGGATATACATACAAATTTTCAGTTTTACAGTTTTTATTGACATTTTTTACCACTACTTTGCCCCCTCTTGATGGATCTTCACCAAATTTGGCATGAAGGTTTGTTAGGTCCGTGCAGAGGTACAAGCAAATTTGAAGTTCCACATTTTGTGTTTTGCAGTTTTTATTGGCATTTTTTACAATTACATATAAGGGAAGCAACTTTTCTGTCCTAAGAAACCTTTTATTAATCATGAATTTACAAACTTCTGTCCAGGGTATGAGTACTCTAGCTAGTACTAAATAATTTTGGTCAAAACATTAAGGTTTCAAGCATTTATAAGTTTTTTTTATATATATCTTCATTAGGCTTTCATTCTATTTTGTTTCCTCTTTAGGTGTTTACTTTATTTCTGGATACTCTAAATGAACTGATTTGTGTTCACCATATGGATCTTTATGGTTGGTTGTATGTTCTTTTGACACGTCTTTTCATCAAGTCCGGTACAGACATTGTAACTTCTGTGCAGACAAAAATAAAAAAAACTTTGGATTTGATTAGGTAATATTTATTGTTAACTTTATTGTGTAATGTTTTTAAGCCTTATTAACTCAGTTTTTATTAATATAGATATACCTTGTTCTCTGATAATACTCACTGAGTATTGTTGATTAGTATGTTTTTTTTTCTATAACTTATATCTTAAAATCAAAAGCACTGTTGAAAAAATTAGAAATTAGTTGAATTTATTTTTCAGTTAAGCAGTAAACTTAGGCTTAATCACTATTTCTAATGTATCTGTACCTTCTGGCTGAACAGTTCACAATTTATTGAAAGGCACAAAGTAGTAAATAGCATACCTTAATTGTTATTTGTCAAGTAGAAAAGAGAACTTCTGTATTTAAAATATATGTACAAAAAAAACAGACTAATTGTATGAATTTGGTACTAAAGTTAATTAAGAACAACTTAATTGTTAATTGAACAAAATATTATTTTAAACCTTGATTACCAGTGGAGTCCATATGTCTGTTTTTTTAAACACATTTTTTGCTCCAACTCACTTGTTGGTCCGTGACTTTGTTTAAAGGGTCCCTAATAACATACGAGTCACATAAAAAAGTGTAAAAAATAATAATATAATTAGTATCTCAGTTAATCTTACTAATTACTGTTAAGTTCCACAATGTTTTACTTAGAAAATGAGGTATTTCACCCAATCTTTGCATTGAGCATTTAAAAAGCTGAAGCATAATATTACCCCTTACACCACAATATGTAGATACCATCAGTGGTGAAAGATATAAAAACAAGTTGATAGTTTGAAGATTAAGGAAAATGTCCTAAGCGTTTTTTACTAAATGACTATAAACACATTATGTGACAGACTTTATAACTTGTGAGAAGTATATGTTATAACATGGTTCATACCATAATGAATAACAGGTAACGGTTGTTGGCAGTGTAAACCATTTTTCACTTGGTAATGAAAACAAGCTTTAAGCTAAGCAAAAAAAGATGAAATACAACAAGTGAGTAGATGATGAATATTAGGAGTAAGAAGTAAGTGAAGAGGACGATGCATCAATGTGTATTGACAATTAATGTTAGGGGGAAGATACAAAAAACATGAACATAAAGAGGAAAATGCAAAAACATGAGTAAACAATGAGCATCAGGAAGAAAATACAACAAAGTGAGTAAACAATGAGCACCAGGAATAAAATACAACAACGTAAGTAAACAGTGAGCATCAGGAAGAAAATACAACAAAGTGAGTAAACAATGAGCATCAGGAAGAAAATACAACAAAGTGAGTAAACAATGAGCATCAGGAAGAAAATACAACAAAGTGGGTAAACAATAAGCATTAAGTAGAAAATACAACAAAGTGGGTAAACAATGAGCACCAGGAAGAAAATACAACAACGTGGTTAAACAATGAGCTCCAGGAAGAAAATACAACAAAGTGGGTAAACAATAAGCATTAAGTAGAAAATACAACAAAGTGGATAATTAATAAGCATTAATTAGAAAATACAACAAAGTGAGTAAACAATGAGCACCAGGAATAAAATACAACAGTGAGTAAACAATGAGCTTCAGGAAGAAAATACAACAAAGTGAGTAAACAATGAGCATCAGGAAGAAAATACAACAAAGTAGGTAAACAATGAGCATTAAGTAGAAAATACAACAAAGTGGATAATTAATAAGCATCAATTAGAAAATACAACAAAGTGAGTAAACAATGAGCACCAGGAATAAAATACAACAGTGAGTAAACAATGAGCATCAGGAAGAAAATACAACAAAGTGAGTAAACAATGAGCACCAGGAATAAAATACAACAGTGAGTAAACAATGAGCATTAAGTAGAAAATACAACAAAGTGAGTAAACAGTGAGCATTAAGTAGAAAATACAACAAAGTGAGTAAACAATGAGCACCAAGAATAAAATACAACAAAATGAGTAAACAGTGAGCATTAAGTAGAAAATACAACAAAGTGAGTAAACAATGAGCACCAAGAATAAAATACAACAAAGTAAGTAAACAGTGAGCATCAGGAAGAAAATATAACAAAGTAAGAAGACAATGAATAATAGGAGGAAAATAATAGAAAATGAACATTAAGGAGACGATTGAATTGAAAAACAGTTACAATTTCTCCATACACTTTGTACCTTCAAATGTGAATCTGGATGATAATGAAATATGGTTGTTGTTTTAGTGAGCCACATGTATGATAGTATAATGAATTTTTCTCTGAAGAAACAAAATATTCAAGGAAGGAAAAGTAAAAATCTGAGATAGGAAATGTGGGAGCAAAGAATTACGAGTATAGCAAAGCCTTTAGCCTACATTTAAATGCTGCAAGTTTGCTTCGGGCCGGCATGGCCAGGTGGTTAGGGCGCTCGACTCGCAATCTGCAGGTCGCGGGTTCGAATCCCCGTCCCACCAAACATGCTCACCTTTTCAGACGTGGGGCGTTATAATGTGACGGTCAATCCCACTATTCGTTGGTAAAAGAGTAGCCCAAGAGTTGGCGGTGGGTGGTGATGACTAGCTGCCTTCCCTCTAGTCTTACACTGCTAAATTAGGGACGGCTAGCGCAGATGGCCCTCGTGTAGCTTTGCGCGAAATCCATAACAAACAAACAAACAAGTTTGCTTCAGATACATTGCAGTTAAATATTGAAACAAATGAAGAATGTCGAAATTTTAATTCTTATTGACATTTTATTTTTATTAACATCCTCATAAATTGTTATTAAAATGTTTCTTTGATGCACAAACCCTCAAATGTACTACAAAAGTGAACCTGAAAATGAGTTTTTTTCAAATTTACTTTTTTTCAACATGATAGTTTCTCAATGTTTTTGGTCATCAGTGTTCTTAAGATCATACACTTGTTGAAAAAAAGAGGATCAGCTGTGTCATTTTTTTATGGTATTTATTAGATAATAAAGATATATTTCCTTACTGAAGTCATATAGAATTATGTTGAACTGACTAGCATCTGGAAATAATAAAGAGTACATCGTAATTGTATTGTGTTTTTTCTTCAAAGGGACTGTTTTGCAAGTGACAAATTATTCCATGTTATCATCCGTTTTTTAAATGATCCTACCCAAACATCCAATAACAAGGTAAGATTGAATTCTTTTGTGACATTCATAATTTTGGGTTGAAAGAAGCTATAGCAAACCAAATGCAGCTGTGATAAGGGCAACCCAAGTATTACAGAAGTGTAACTGTCAGAATCGTACAGTGTTGTGTCTGTCAATTACACTTCAACATTTTTGATACCATTTTAGGTACCGTATTGTTTATCACACGATAGCAGACTTGTACACACTAAAACTATATTTTTATATGTCTCTCCTAGTTTGTGTCATGTAGTATTGATATTGACATGCAGTAATTATGATACAGCCATACAATGTGTGAAGTTGATTTGACATTCATAATTTTGTATTGAAAGAAGCTATAGCAAACCAAAAGCAGCTGTGATAAGGGCAACCCAAGTATTACAGAAGTGTAATTGTCAGAACTGTACAGTGTTGTGTCTGACACCTCAACATGTTTGATACCATTTTAGGTACCGTATTGTTTATCACACGATAGCAGACTTGTACACACTAAAACTATATTTTTATATGTCTCTCCTAGTTTGTGTCATGTAGTATTGATATTGACATGCAGTAATTATGATACAGCTGTACAATGTGTGAAGTTGATTTGACATTCATAATTTTGTATTGAAAGAAGCTATAGCAAACCAAAAGCAGCTGTCGTGTGTTTAGATAGTTTTTTAATTTTAATGGTCAAGCAAAATGGATCAAGAGTTCACAGTTTGTTTCCTCTCTATTTTGGTGATTTAAAATATTCAATGTTATGAAGTTGTTTCACTGTTCAACTTTAATACACAGTTGTTTTTTAATAGCAAAAAAAAAAAGAAAATATGTTTCAGAAACCAAAAAATAATCACAAAGCATGTGCGTCACGAAATTTACGAAGTGTTCGTTTTTAGATTATTTAGTTATTTTTTGTGATCTGAAAGTTTAACACACAATTCTCATCAAAGCAGCATGAAATAAGCTATGCTATGTTAGGGAGTGGATACAAAAGAGAGAGAGAAAGGTTACCCCCCCCCCCTCCTGAAGTGATATGTGGGCTTCCCAGATGGTTTCTAAAGCCCTTACATAGAGCATTTTCAAAACAAAGCTAGTAACTGAAATCTTGGGTTTTCTTATAGATAAGATTTTCTATTAGAAACAGAGAAAGTAAGACAAAAGAGGCTAATAAAGAAAAAAAAACATAATGATAAGGGCATATAACAGTAACAAAAATGACTTTTTTTTTTCAGTTAAGTATATATAAGTTTATAATTTGTAGAAGTAACACAGAGTGCTTAGTTCTTAATAATATTTGGTCATGGGCTGGCCTTTTGGTAGAGCTGGGAAGAGTGGTCCAAATCCGTGTAATACCATAATATAATCCCCAAACTTTCATCTGTGGTTGCATAATAAATGTGACAGTCAATCCCTTAGAATGAATGGTGGGTGGTAGGGTGCTGTTGATTGGTTGCTTTCTATATGGTCAGTTGCTCAAAATTATGGATGACAGCAATAAGAATAAATGAAACTAGTCTTATATCAGCTTGGTTACTCCATATACTAAGTCTGTTAATGCATCATACATATAAATATAAAAATATACATTGTAATATATATACTTATATTTATCTTAAAGTGTCTTAGGACTCTATCAGATATCTTCATTATGCTTTTAACCCTTATTTTAATTAAACAAAGCTGCTAAATTATCTCGATAAAACAACTTTATATTTTCGTATAATTTTCTCTAGACCAAACTGACCATGCTACAATACCTACATTCAGTACTAAAAGTAATGGACCCAAGTGAATTTTCTGGGTCCAACAGTGAAACCAAACAGGCTATTACTAAGGTCATCTCCTGGACTGCTGACCCCAAGAGTAGTGACTTAAGAAGGGTATGTACAAACTTACTTTAGTACTGGCAATGCCAGCTTATTATAATAAATCTTAAGTATAATCAAATCAGATTATCAGTGTAAGTCAAATTCAGAAATTCTGAACGAAACTATTAACTTAACGTGTTTTTCTTAATGAATTTATCCACATTTTATGGGCATCTGATTGTTCTTAGTATTTTCTATTTATCATTCATGAATGCAAGGAGATAAGGAAGTAAATAAAGGAAACTTTTACTGATATTTTTATAAAAAAAATTTGCATTTTACTAAGGTTAATAACAAATGTTCTTTATAAACATCACAGATATATATATGTGATGTGAAGTATGTATATATATATACAATATACCATTATGTTGTTTGAATGTATAGTTTTAATGGTTAGATTTTGTTTTCTTTAGAAAAAATAACTTATGTTTTCTCGTCAGTATTTAGTACGAAATATATTAGGTTTAAATTTCATCAAACTGAAAACACTCCACTTGTGTTGGTGCACATGTTTTCTAGGAGAATTATTAGTATTGGTATAAATTGAGCTTCAACAAACCATAGTGTAGTGCGTACGATTAGACCAATGCTGTGGAAACAGTATGGTTTCATGCATTATCTTGCAAGAAGATCAAGAACATGTTTCTGTTACTGTATCTTATTACACTAGTTCACATTAAAAATGAAAATATCTGTATGTTTCAGTTTTCTCAAGATGTTATCATGGGCTTATTTAACGTGAACACACCTGAATTTTCAATGTTATTAAATCAACTACCGAAGAGTTACCAGGTAAGGATGCCATAAAAAACTTTGTTAGCTTTATAGTAGATATTATATGTTGACTATGACCACATGATTAGGAAATATAAGTAAAATGAGCAACCCCTACGTCGACAGCGTATGTAGATACGTGATGTTTAATCCACCAGGTTGATGTTAGTTGTGAGAAAGGTGTGTGTGCAACCATTCAATAACAATGAAAGGATAACAAGAGGGTGTTAGGACCTTCACAGGGAACATAGTAGTGGGTGTCCCTTAACCACTTCATTCAATAATGAAGTAATTTCATTGATTGTATGCCTTCCAGAATTAGTATTCTACGAATGGCAAAACTGTCATAAAACCAAATAAGCTATGATGACGCGGTGTTTGAAGATTTATACACCATCGATATCATCACAGTCTATAAATGTGGTGCCGTGGCATGTATCATACACTTATTCAACATTAGACAAGGCATGCTCTGATCTCAGTCCTTGTTCAAAAATTGTGAAGGAATGCATCAGGACTCACACTTAACATCCTTTCTTATGGACAAATGAGTCCAAATACTACAAAATTTCTTTCAGAATCTTACGAAGATCATGTCACTTGTCAGAGCCGTCGTTCTCTAATTAACTGGCCAGTGGGTAGAAGTAAGTAAAAGTATGATACTAAATTAATTTGTACAGAACATAGCCTCATCAGCTCTTTGACTACTATGCAGATAAATATATATCATGGTAATCCTATAATTGTACAAATCAGATGCTGTTTTGTTGGATTTAAGCTTACAACTATTAATTATCTTTAAATTTGTATATGTATACATTTGTGAAAATTCATTTTAAACTTGTTGTCACTGTAAGCTATAATGGAAGAAAAGGAGTTTTCTAAAATGGTGGATCTGTTGTGTTAAATATTTGTTTGCACCACTTTGTGCAAATGAACTCATAACTTGCAGCAAATATGTCAATAGTTTAAGGTTGATCAGCTCGTATCACATTACATAACATGAATTATAAAAGAATTTAAGCACTGAATGTATCCAGTAGAATAGAATTTGTTAAAAACTTTAAAGAATTTTAATACATATATACATAAATAAAAATGGAAAACACATTTAATTTAATTTGGTCATATCAACTTCTCTTTAGATCATTAACAGTACACAGTTTTCTGAGATGAGCAACCTGTGTATTCACTTACTTGTTGGAATATTGCAGTCAAGCAACTTACCAACTGTTCCTGTTACCCTGTGCCTTTGCTGGTGATGAATGGTTAACATTCAGTAACCAATGTGATGCATCTCTGTGAAAAAGCTATAAAACTTTTGATAACTAAAGAGTTTTATTAGATGTTCATACATTTTTTTTTTGGTACATGTGATAAATTACTTTATACTGCCGAGTGACATTAGATTATAGTTAAATTTATCTTTTTAAGTGAAATATATTTAAAACGATGTCAATGATATGCTCAGATTAATTTTTCTTGATCTGTTGTTTCTTCAGGATAGTGCATTCAAGCTTCTTAGTTCGAGAAGACGTAGTAGCACAGACAGTAATATTTCCTTTGGAATGAGAAACCCTCCCAGTCCAGTAACGTCAAACCTTCATTCGTCCAGTGCAACATCAAGGTCAGTAAAAATATACAACACATTATATATTTTGAGAAATAGAGATTAAGCAAAGAAAATATTCATTTTCTCATACTTTTCACAATCAAATTTTTTTATAGTATTTATAAAATTAAATACTTGGGTAAAATCAGAGACTCAAATTTGTTGGACTACACTTCAAAAATATATCAAATTCAATATTCAAAGGAACTCAACTGTATAGGCTATTTTTACTACTTTAATTATGAACTGTGTAATCGTGCCGGTTTTTCTATCATTCGAAAATTGTTGTTTAAATAATGATGATATTATTAAAATCTGTCAGCTGTGTTTTTTAATACTATAACTCATCACATTATTTATTATATTATAAATATATTATAGATGGCGTATTATTTCACTGATTTTAAGGCCATGTAAGATATTTATAAACAGTTTCTAATATTTTTCACAAATGTCATGACTCACATCTTTTATTGTTTTTGTTTTTTTATTTAAGCAGTTTTGAACAAAATAAAACACATTACAACCAGAACAATGAATTGTAAAATCTATCTTCAGAATAATAGATCTCAATAAAAAAATTAATCAAATTTAAAGTACTGTGTATTTTTAGAATAGTTATTTATCTATTTTTTTGTCATTTTTTTTAGAGTAATTCATGGCTTAGCATGGTCTGTGGCTATGAGGATCCATGGTTCATGTTCCACTACTACAAAAAATAAAATCATGCTCTGCACTTTGGGGCCATGGGTGCATTTGGACAATTGATGGTCAAATCCCACTATTTGAGTAAAGTAGCCCTCAAATTAGCAGTGGATGTGGCTGACTAGATGGCTTCCCTCTAGTCTATCAGTTCAAAATTAAAGACAGCTTGTGCAGATGGCTCTTGTGTGGCTTTGTACAGACAAAAAAAAAAATCAGTAGTTCTAGTTTCATAAGAATTACTAAAATGTTTACTTATTATTAGGAGTTTTAAACAATATTACTTGGTCATGCCAGAGTTAAGATTTGACTCTCGATAGCCAGTATCCAGATTGGCTACTGAGAGAAAAGTAGCAGTAGCCAAGAGTAACGTACCACGTAACAAGAAGTATACCAGAAAAGATACTTTTCTTTTTTAAATGAAAATTATGATGCTAATGCAAGCACAATAAAATACTGGGATAAAGATGCTTGCTTCTTTTCCACAAGGCAAGAAAGCAAGAACCATGTACACTGTGTTGGTTAATTTCATAGTCATGAAGGGTTATCAGGAAATAAATATTTGAAGAATCTTGTTTTTTGTACGTATGTGCAGTGAAAGTTTCGGAATTACTTGCACAATAAACTATAATCGTGTTTTTCAACTACTCAATAATAGTCATTAATATATCTACAAAAGAGAATTATAAACTCAACTGGCTTTTATTCATTTAGTGACATATAAAACTTACAACTGAAACAGTTTAATTAGAACATTTTATAAATTCATGCTTACCTAAACAGTGGTGCAACCCAAATCTAACAGAAGTGTAATTGTCAGAACTGTACAGTGTTGTGTCTGTCAATTACACCTCAACATGTTTGATACCATTTTAGGTACCGTATTGTTTGTCACACGATAGCAGACTTGTACACACTAAAACTATATTTTTATATGTCTCTCCTAGTTTGTGTCATGTAGTATTGATATTGACATGCAGTAATTATGATACGGTTGTACAATGTGTGAAGTTGATTTACAAATATTCACTTTCCAGTGTACTCATTTCATTTCTCTTTTTTTTTCCTTGTACATAATGGTGAACATAAAGTATTGTGCTTTCACCAATGAAAGATCTATCACTAATGGTGAGTTGGGAGAGTTTAATATGAACAGTTTCGTGGTTTTATGTTCAGATGTTCAGAAAGAATCTAAAGCAGGTACAGGTCTGTTTTGTGTGAGTGTGTGTGTGTGGGGGATTAACTAACTGTTACATTTTGTTTTCTTGGTATTGAGAGTTGTGTTTTTTATTCATTCTTAGTAAAGGGGTGTTATATATTCAAAATATTATATGCAAATAATTTTCTTTGTATATGATTAAAGTAGTATAATTTTCTTTTCTAATAAACGTATTCTTGTGCACTTTAACCATATTATTTTTTCTTACCCTGGCTGGTTCACCAAAAGTCGGTCAGAAACGCCACAGGACCACTCACTCGAGTATGATGACACTGAAAATTTAAATTCTGAAGAAATATTTAACTCACTAAAGATGACCTCAGCAGAAATTCAGAAATACAGTGTGAATACATATGAGAAGGAATATAATTGCAAAGATGAAAGACAAAAATCGAAAGATAATGTAATGAGAGATTCAGGCCCTCAAGAATCGGGTAATAGCCACTCTTCATCTCCAGATGGCAGACAAGATTCAGTGCATGAACGCTTGAAGCTCCTCAGAATTCAATCCCCCAAATATTCTCCAAATTACTATAAAGAACAGGTGTGTATTGGATATTATTTTTAAGAATATTAGAAATATCTGTCATTTGATTTATTATGATTAATTGTTTTTAGGGCATAAATATTTAATTCCCAGTTATATCTTTCCATAACATATTACTTCATGAATAATAATAGTTTCAATAATTTAATTTTTTTAGAACACAAATATTATTCATTGCATGTATGATTTCATCTTTTCAGTAACAGCTACAAAATTAATTAATTTCATTAAATACTAAGTATAGTGTTACCATTACTTACGTTACAAAACTAGTAAATACACTTTCAGATTCTAAAAGTTAATATTCCAAAGAGATTGTTTGCTAGAAAACTGTCTGCTTAATGTTGCTTATTAGTTACTAGCTTATGACTCTTGCTCATTTTACCAAAACTTAAAAACTAAATCCTGCAGTACACTAACAAATGTTTGAATTTTTTACAATATAGTTATGCAATGGTGTTTGCAAGACACAAAAGCCTCTTACGTGTATCTAGAGAGAATACAAAGATTAGTGTATTCTAAAGTTAGCCTTCAATTCAGACAATGTATAGAGGATAAAATACATAATATTTTAAGCATGCCAAAAAAAAAACTCAAATGGAAGAAAGGGTTATTTTTCATTGCCTTTTCAATTTCCCATGGAGGTGTTCATTTTAGATAGAATAATAAAAGGTATTTAAAGGTATGCTGTTTATTATACCATTAAGCATATAATCATGTTTAATTAAATGAATATACATATTATTTTAACTTATATGTTTCAGACTTGATTCCCATAATTCTGTGTAAAAAAAATAAACTTGTGTAATTATAGGATAGAGAGAATGGTATAGACAGAGATGCTCATTCAGAACCTTGCTTTGATCAGAGGGAACTTGAAGATGGTGAGTCTAATATAAGTATGTGAAAAGTTAATTAGTTTTAGAAATGTTAAACTGTGGAGAATGATTTGAACTTTCTTTAATCTGTGATGCGTATATATATATATTGTCAGTATCTCATGCTTTACTTTACAACCTTAATGCTGTATGTTGACGACATAATACCCTACTTTTCATGAAAGCAAACAAGACTTTATAATTATCAGGTCAGAATGATGCTTCAAGAAATTTTTCCATATATTAACCATATAAAATATTCTGTTTCCAAAAATGGTTTTATTCAATGCTGATAAACCATGTAACTTGATCTATAGATATTGGTGTGGTACATACTTAAAATTGCTTCCAGTGCTTATAATGCCAAAAAATCGTGTGTAGATACTTACAATGGCACAACATAGATAGTCCATTGTGTAGCTTTGTGCTTAACAGAAAACAACCACTGAACTTTGTCTCGTGCCATTTGTATAATAGCTAGTGTTGTTTTTGGATGTGAATGATGTTTTGGTATTTTTATTGCGATATACTCTAGAGAATAGATATTGCTAGAGTATTATACTAAATTGTTTAGTTATGAACACACCTCCATGCTTGTTTGTTTAAAAAGAGCAGTAAAATATCCTTCGACTTATAAATTCAGTTTTCCTTCTTTTAAGCAAAATCATGACAGGTTATTAAATAGAACTGTTCCACTTGTTTAGTTTTGGAAAAATAACAAATTTAGTCCTTAAAACTTTAATACAGATTTTTTTTATAACACCAACTCTAGAGCTAGAAAACCTAACTTTTTTGTGACATGACTTGTGGTATTATTTTATTTAACACAGGTGCTCAGACCTAACTTCCACATAAATATACCTACACTTCTACGTTCATGGCTCATGTATAAGTATGTTTGTAGTTACGTACATTGGCAAAACAAAACATCACATGAAAACTAGAGTCTGTGAACGTTTACATATATCAAATGGAACCAGCCATCCATTACTTAAACCCAGCCACTTATCCATTCTTCCCACATTGAAACCACAGGTCACAATATTTCATATGACAATTTCTCTATCGCTACTACAGGATCTTCAGACCTTGAATTCTACTTCAAAGGAAGTTTACTCAAAGCTAAAGACCGTCCTGCTCTTAACAACTTTTTACAAACCTCTTTAGACCTAAAATTATTTTTAATTTACACACTTAAAACTCAGTTGTTTGTTACGATTAGTTATAATTGTTTTGTACAACTTGTAATTCATGATACATTCATAACACATTGTATAATCTGTTTTTCCTTCCATTTACCACTTTACTGAATTTCTAAGTAAATAAACAATTGGTGATAATATAGAATTAGTTAATAAATATCATTGTAACATTATTTTGAGATTTAGCTGAATATTATATAAGTGTAGATAAAAATGTTTTTTTTTTGTCAACTGTCTTCATCTTTATTGTTATGGTAATATTTTAACTTGTGTTAATTGTGGTAAGGAATCATTGTGGAACTATTTTACTGTTTACTGTACTGATTATTATACTGTTTTTTTTTTAATTATGCCTCAGATTTTTTATTTATGTAACAATTAAAAAATTGCCTTGTATAAAATAATTTGTTCCAGATTTTTCTTTTTTAATGTTTAAAGTCTAAATGTCAATAATCATTTTTATGCTTTTATGTTCCACTTCCAAAAGAATTATCATAGGTAAAGGATTTTTATGTTCACTTTATCTGTATTTTTTGACTAATCATCATTTGATATTCTTTATGTATAACACACAGATAAAAAGAGTGATTTCAGACTTCTTTTCAGACTCTGTTTTTGGTGACATTGTTGCAGAACTCAACAATCATAACACCAGGTAAAGTGTTGTTGGAAAATGGAATTTTATATATGTGTCATTGAGATTGCTTGCTAATTGTATTGTACAAGTGCTATAACACATTCTGTGATTTTATATCTTTTTTTTTTTTCACTTGATTTGTGATTATGCTCATGGAACTCTACTTTTAATAAATCAATTTACTGGATTAACTTTCTGGTAGATTAGTCATAGTGCATCACTGACTTGTAGAGCCACTGGAAAAGAAGATTATATATATATATTGTTTTTTGTAAGTAAAAGGTTTAATATTTAAAAAAGTTGTTATAAGTACGATCATATAACATAATGTATACAACTGTTGAATGTACCTCAAGAAAATAATTTTTTAGCATATTTTATTTTTAGTGTTATATAAACAACATAAACACTATATTTGTTGAATCATTGCAATGATTTTGATAAGATAAATATTTCAATAAAGAACAGCATGCCTTTTAGCTTTTAACAAGTTCATTTTATTTCCTTTGTTATGTGCATTTTGTTGAAAAAGACGTCAGGAAAAGAAGCTTGCTAAAAGAATCATCCTGTAATGATTATTTTTAAACCCTGTAGATACTTAGTTTTTGGTTATAAGAGAAGACTTTAAGTATACTGAAATAATAATTTTTTTTTAAATGATTCTTTTATAATTTTTTACTTTTGGGGGCAGGAATGAACCCAGAAAACACGCACTTACAAGACTGATATACTTAGTGAAAGAAGACCATCCAGGGTGGGAAGACCACTTTAGAAATATTCTTCGACTCTTGATTGCAACAATGGCAGATGCAGATGTAAGGATGCTTATTTTATCTATTGTTTTTCAAATCTAACTGCTTCATTTTTATAAGAACTTGGATTGTTACAGTATTCTAGATGTCTGAAATTTTAATTAAGGCATTATTATTATTATTTTGGAAATATTTATTTTATTTATTTGAGGTATAGAAGTGAAAATAAACAACTAACAGGCATATGTACAGTTTATGACAGTGTTTGCATCTGTCTGTAAGACTTTCTTTTACAGTCATAAAAATGCCTAATTTTTATCTGCAAATGGTATGGATGAACATATGTGTATACACACACACACACACATTTGGGTACAGTGCTTGCAAGATATTTCTACCAGGGAGGATTGATGTACATGTACATATCAGATAAATTACATAAAATATGTACTGTTCTACACCAAGAAGAAATGATAAAGATTCAAAATTTGTAGTCTGTAATATTTTTTAAGACTTTTGAAACCCTAGTGAAAAAGTAATGGTACTGCACAGGTCATTCATTAAATTATTACCATGGTTATCAAATTGTGGTGCACAACTGTTAACTCCCCATTATTATAAAGCTTCACAAAATAATCCACTAACTATGTTTCTACTAAAATAAAAACTTAACAAATGAAGGTTCAAGGAAAAAAAGAGCCACATTTCCATTAAAAAAATGTAATCACTTATCATACATATCTACTGTTTTGAGACATCTGTAAATTTATGTGTAAAGAAGTTGTGGGTTGTGCTAAAGGGTAATTAGATAAAAGCAATAGTCTGATTTTGAATAAGTATCATAAATATATCAGTATACATCTCTATATATGTGTGTGTGTGTGTAATATATATATATATTGTATATTCAACTTGCTACTCATTATACATTGTTCCGACTTATTAAAACAATACACGGTTTATCTTATTTCTGTCCATAATCACATATCTATGATTAGGTATTTTGGATTGCTGGGGATTTTTTTATATTTCCAAAGTTTTTGTTAAACTAGTTAAATTCCATGTTAATTGATAATCTGTTGTTTTTAAAGTTTTAATCACTTTCTTTTTTAATAGGGCTCAATTCGAACTCTTGCTTTGAAAACACTTTGCGAACTCCTGAAAATGCAAGCACGACGATTCCACGGTTATGGAGAATTAACAATTCTAAAGATCCTCGATGCTCATAAGGACTCTGAAAAAGAAGTATGATGAATTCTTATTAATACTTTCATGCTTATAGTTGTTTCTTGATTATGATTTTAGCCAAATAACGATTTTGATTTCTTAATAAAGCAGGCTTTACCGTGTCTTATTTAGGTCTGAATGCAAAAGAAGTAAAGGACTTGATAGATTATCTCCTCTCACATGTTCCAGTCATTTTTTAAACCTTGCTGTAAATAATATGGCCTTTATACTTCGGGAATTGGTTCATTTGATAGATGTTTTTAAATATAAATATTTAACATACTTCATTGTCAGCTTTTAATGCATTGTGTTCAAGACTTAAAGGTTTGGATGAAATGGAAGTTACTTGAAAAAACTTTCAAAAAATAGTAAATGTTTTTTGTAATACTATGAGTTAGAAAATTATAAAATACATGCCAAGAACTTGTTTTTTTATTAGTTTCCAAAACAAGAATGTAGTATTAGCAGATAAATACACAGTACTCTGTAAACTAATCTAATATAAAGTTTAGATCCATTATTAGGGAAAAACGAGTTAATATAGACACAAGTTTTGACATTTTAATGTGTCCCCTTCGGTCCAACTTTTGTTTGGAAAAGTGAAACTGAAGATGACACATGAAAGTGTCAAGACTTGTATCTATCTATCTATATATATATATATATATATAATTTTTAGTCTCTAATAGTGGATCTAAGCTTTCTTTTTTAAATGTAATATTAATTTGAGGTTTAGAAATTAGAAGCTCAAATTTAATTAAGGAAGAAATTAACCTAGAAGTTTTACATCATTTATATTATTTTACTTTATTTATGGAATATTTTAAAATCTACTGTACATACTGTTTACTCAAGAAACAGCAAATTCTAAATCACATTAGTGGATAAGTATTCCCTACATTCAATTATAAATAACACTGAGCTGAAGATGGTTGAAGTTTCATGTCTTGAGGCCAAAAATGAATGATGGTGTTACGTATCTGCTTGTTTGTTAATTTCCGGTATAAATTCTTTCCGAGGAACTTCAGCGATACAA